ACTAACAGTTAAGCAAGAAGAAAACAAACTGGTAGTTTATCTCATCAGAAGCAATGTTGTCAATTAATATTCTGAGACATAACTTCACAGACTTGAGAGCCAAAAGCACAAACTTAAACTAACCAAGTGACTTGTTTCCTCAAAGTTTTCTGCTCTATTATTTCGTTAACAAAACTGGATTTTTAATGCGTGCAAAAGAAAGCTGTCTTTCTTATTTCACTTTGTGTACCTCTTATTCATTATTATTTTTAAACTGTACCATGAAGAGATTTAGTCACAAATGAAACAACTAATAGCAGCCCCCATAAGCAACTATAACAGCTCATTTTTTAAAGAAATCAGATCTATTAATAAATGCAGCCATTCAATAAATTGATCATGGATTGACTCCTCTCTTCTGAATCATGTCTGCTTTGACATCCCTTTACTATCAATACACAAGCTATTTGTTTATAGTGATGGGAGGATGATTATAGATCCAAAAAGATATACTTTATGTGATCCAAAATTTCAGGCTGCTATTGTCTCAATTATGATTTAATTATTGTGAGGGGGAAAAGCCTAAAACTAAACCAACATATTTCTGATCACTTGCATCTATAAATTGCATGAGATTTTTCTAGAGCTGGTCAGAAAGCTATTGTAATATAGACAGATGTTTTATGAATACCACAGGTGCTGGAAAACTTAAGGGAGGAGAATTATGTATTCTGGAGCAAACTCCAACAAATGAGAACACCCTAGAATCCATATTTTTACGAAGTTCTGTGAACTGGTCATGGAGCTGACTATTAAGAATTTTACTCTTTTTAAATGAAAACAAAATATCCACGTGAAGAGCAATACATCACCATGTACTATCTCTTCTAGCCGTATTTCCAGTCCTATTTCAATGTGTTCAATGGCTCCTAACCTTCAAACAAACAACTTCAAATTTCTAGAAAAACCTGTTTCAGATTTAAGAAGCTACCATTTCACAAATTTATAAGCATTTTGGTTTTAAAGTTATGAATGCTGTGCAAAAATTATTTTTTAAAAAACTGAACATGTAGGTTCAAATGGGACAAAAGAAACTTATTTGTGTTTTTTGCATTGTGAGAAATCAGCATGAAGAGACCTGAGATAGATTTTTAAAATCCTCATGCCCAGACCTTTATGGGAAGGCTTTTTCCTAGATGAGGTTCTGCAATAAAAACATACTGGTTAATAGATTTCTGTTTTTATGTGTGCTGAACTCTCAAGAAATACTAGACCCAGAGTCTTGGATTATTGCCAATAAAGAAAGCCAGAAGGAAGTACAGAATACCCTCTTAACCAGGGATACTAGTCAAGGAAGTTATGGAACCAAGACAATAGTTTACAGTAACAAAATAAATATGAATAAATATTTAATTATGTACAATATCTCAGTATAAATAAAGCCATGGTTTTGTGTATATATAAGGCTAGGGGGATCTAAGAAAATATTAGCAAAGGGATAGGAAAAGAGAATCAACAGTTGTAGATGAAGTACATCAGAAGATCTAAAGAGCAGGGACAAAGACAATGCTAAAGATATGAAAAAAGGGAAAGCAAGAGGAATATTTCCAGGAAAGCTGTTAATAGAACTGGAGCAGAAGATGGAAAGAGGTGTTGGCAGAAAGGGAAGCAGGGGGAGAAAAGGTAGCATACTATTAGCATTGATCCATCTGACATCTTTTGATTTGCACTGATGATGTTACCTAGTTGGATAATGAAATGTTTACAAGCAAAAATGAAACTCGGAGACCACCAAGAATTCCAAAGTGCAATGCTGAGCTATAGATATTCTCTTCTGTTGAAACATTTAAGCCCTTTACTGAAGAGAGTAATACCCTCATGGATTAGCAACTGGTTAAAGAACAGAAAATAGAGAGCAGAAATGGACAATTTTCATATTGAAGAGATGTGAAAAGTGCTCCCTTCTCCGGGAATCAATATTTTGACTCAGTATCAGTGTCATAAAATATATCCATATCTTTCAGCTTCTTTATGTCTGAGCTAGAATTAAGCATCAGTACTAAAATGGACAAATTTGCAAATGATATCAAATTCTTTATAGCAACAAAATCAAAACATGACTGTGACAAACTCCAAAATATTTTCACCAAATAGGGTGAATGGGTCATAATAATATCAAATTCAGTTTGGTGTTACAAAAATGAAAGTGATAAGATACTGGTCTTAAATGCTCCCTCCCCTCCCCTTAACATATGTATGAATGCAGTCTTTCCTAGTAATGACCGATCAGGAAAATGATTTGGGAATTATGGTAAAGTAGTTTAATAAAAAATGCTAACATAACTTAGCTGTGACTGCTAAGTTGCTTTTGAGGAAATGAATATTGCCATCTTGCAATTCTGCTGTTAGTGATAGCGTTTTAGATTAGAAACATAAATGTATGCAATTCTGTTTTATTTTATTCACTATTCTGTCCTAAGGTCAATATTATATAGTATGACTTGTTTTCTGCTCCTAAACACCATGAAGTAGAAGAAATTACTATTGAGGCACTTAGAACATTAAATCCAAGGTTAGGAACTGAGAAATGACCCATCCAGTATCTTGACACAGTCCTTGAAACCAGAAAGATATGCGTTTTAGGATTAACTCTTGCCTAGAATTCCAAGCTACACTGGTATATTGCTAGTTGTACTTTTTTTGTTTATTGATATGTTTATAAAGAAACCGAGGTCGACACGTCTGGGTTAAATATCCTAGGAAAGCAAAAATGGACCAATAAAACTTGAAGAACTACTCAAAAAAATGCCTGGCTAGATAACTGAGTCAATCACTCTTTCAGCCCAACTCACTTCACAGAGCTGTTCTGTGAGGAACCCAGGAGGATTAGGTATGTTCACTGCCTTGAGTTATTTAATAAAGGAGAGATTAAAAAATAAAATAAATGAAAAGCAGCTACTCAGTGCTTCATAATTTCTAACATGCTACTATGAAATGACTCTTCTTTACCAATTTTTTTTGTGAAACAGAGTAAATCACAATCTGCAACACAAAAGGAAAAATTTTGTAATGCTCATAAATTATGCAGATTTGACAGATTTTATTTTAGTCACTCTCTTTTAGACATTGTTAGGCAAAGAACTAGTACCCTGTACTATTCTTTGGATAACTCAAAAGACAGTACCTTCCCAATTTAAATGGATATTGCCTGCCTCCTTTTAGCATGTACATGAATTATTGTCTCTCAAATCTGGCATACTCCACACAAGTAGATCTTGCAACTCTTAGAACTGGGAATCTGGGAGTTACAGTCCCAATGCATCTGGGGGGTTTTGGTTACAGAAGATTTAAGAGGTGCTTCTTGAAAGTAAACACTGTAATTTTTGGGATACTGGTTGAAATGCCTGGAATTCAATTCAATCCAGTAGCTAAGCATGATATCCCAGACCATCCACGCAGTCTTTAGGGAAAATCTGATTTCTGTTCCTTCTGTTAGCTCCTTCTGCATCTGGTAGCAAGTAAATAATAGATGCATAAATCTGATAGATACTGGTGAAAGCAAAATGATATGCTATAAATATAGTTTCAGTATATCTGTGCAAAATTTAGAAAGTTGATTTTCGGCTTCAGCATACTGAACTTATATTAAGTAGCAAGCCAAGTGATAATAAAACAGTCATCCATTATTACACCACATATCCAATTCAAGCTTTTAAACCAGCAATAGTAAATGGTCCTGTAAACTGTTCTTGCAAAAAAACTGTGCATATGAACATTTTATGCTGTATAGCAGACATTACAACTTAGCAAGTGCATTGCTAATGAACCCCTCATGTTCCTGAACATCAGTACAGTACTATAGTCATACAAAATGAAAGTTTGTATGACTTTCATTATAGTTTCATTATCTCTGGTTGCTAAGAGGTGAGAAAAATACAGTGAATTAATGTTTAGACATACTTACCATATACCCATTTAAATTAATGGGACTTAAGTTATGACTAACTTAACCCATTGATTGGAGCCAGTCTTCTCTTAATATGACTTTTCTGGGCTCAACTAAATAGATCATAGAATAGTCAGCAGAATATTTGAAAAGACTGCAATAGTTGGCTTGTAGGCAGATAGAGTCATCTATTACAAATCCTTGACTAAATTAAAAAAGTTCTTCTGATACATTGGACAATATGTGTTTATTAATGTTCTCCTTTATTTTATAAGATCTATTATTAACATAACAAAAATGCAAGTGACAGATGATTTGATAAAGCCATTGCGGAGTATGGCAGGCTTCTGAGTAGTTCCTTCCTCTTTTTCTGACTATGTTACAAGCATTCTTATTTTTCTCTCACTTTCTTTTCTCCAAAAGTGAGCCTATATATATCACCAGAGGCACAGAGTGCAACTCCCATCAGTATTAGTTGTAATCCAAAAGCATGAAGAGCATCAAATTGGGGAAAGGTGAAGGCATCATCTAATTTAAAAAGAAATACTTTATTCCTAGGCATTTTTGGCATAATCAATAGATAAAGCCACAAATTACTCCCTCCCACACACACACATTAAATTAGGCAATGTCCCTTTTATATTTAAGAATAAAAGTAGAAGTTTGCCATCTCTATAATTACCCTGTCATTCTTTTTTAAATATTTGAGGAGTTATTTTTCAAGCAATATTCTGTAGTATAAGTTATCTTGAACATATAATTCTTAATTTTTTTTTCCTCTTACAGACCTGACCACACACAAAAAACCCATAAACTAAAGAAGATGCTGTTCAAAGTATGCTGCCAGTTCTTATCTTCAACTCACAAAATTAAAGAAAATAAAGATTCCATAGCATTAACTCTGTCTTCCTCCCTTGTTATTGCCTGCAAAATGAATTAATGTTGAAATGCAATTAAAAATGTAATGTGGAGACATAGAGGTGAGTTGATGGCAGGGCGGTTTTTTTTTTTAATGGGGGGAAGGTTTGCAGAGTGATCAGACCATGATTAAATTATGCTTTATCTTAATGCTTACCTTCACTTACTTGGGGAGTGGGCAATTTTTCACCTTTAATTCTCAGTACTGGTGGATAGATGCCTAGGTTTTCAAAAGCCAGCTTCCATAATAGTCCTCAGCCATTCCTACACACTTCAGCCCAACTTTCTAGAGCCACTGACAAATAACCTCCTGCATCTTAGATCACTGATTAGCTAAGTTCCATCCGAGCCTCTTTTCCAGCAGAGAAATCAGCCACTGTTGTTGATCTCTCTTCTTTTTTTTCTAGCTACTGATCACAAATGTTGCAGGGGGGGTGGAGGGGGGAGAGAGGGATAGAAAGTGAGGCTGGATTGAATAAAATGGTCTCCTGCGAAAGAATCTTGGCCAGGAGAAAAGGGTCGAGATTTCATAACATTATGGACGTTTTCAGAAAAACAAAAACATACACGATCAGTGGTAAGGAAAAACTCAAACGTGATGGCTCCATCTATGGGTGCGTGACCCAGGTATACAGCTAGAGAGGAAAGCATTATTTTAAACTATAGGTTTCAAGCAGGATTTATTAAATATTCCAAGTTGAATGAACCTGTAGCAATTTGCCCGGGGCTAGATTTTACCCGAGCAGCGTTTCTCTCCGCAGGCGCCGGTTTAAATACGATCATCTTCCTAGCCACGAATTTTAGCTAAGAATTCTTAGGAACGGGATCATCTTCTATCGTACTCATACGGCTCGGTAAAATAGAAAAAACTATGTTGGGGTGCAAAGAACCCACGAACTATTCGGGGCCACGTTTTTGCAAGATGGTTTTGCCAGTTCCTTTTGAAACCCCTCTCCTTTTCCTCACGAGAGGGTGCCGAGAAAGTTATACCTGGGTCGACTTGGGATACTTAATAAGTACATACGAGATCAAATTACACCCTGGCCAAAACAGTCGCCTGTGATCTTTGGCGGGAATTTGTCCCCACAGTCTGCCCTCTACCTGCCTTTTAAATAAACTTCAGAATACGGTTTGCGTAAAATCCCGCTTACTCTACGTTGCTTTAATGGGTAGGGTGGGTCTTGCCCACCCAACCTTCAGGTTAAAGGACTTCAACTGGAACAAGAGGAAGAAGACCACGGGGGGAAAAATGAGCAATAACACAGATTCAGAAGACGCACAGCCTCCTGTGGGATTTGTACAGCACTCAATGAAAGATGCTGCCCGTCCAGGGCATCCCTGAAGATTGGGGGAGGGGGTAGAGACGCTATTGCCAGTTGAGCTAAGTAGTAGAGTTCATGAGGCGGGGGGGGGTGGGGGGAGAGACGCAACGTTTGGGATTTTACTCTGCCTGACTCAATCGATCAACCTTTTTTTAAATAATTTTTTAAAATTTATTTTCGCAGAAGCAAGGGAGGGCACGGTGGCGGTGTTGTGGGGCTGGGTGGGGGAGGAAGCTGGGAACTCGAGACTTCGGACTCCCCTCGGGCGGCTAATTGTCGATTGGAAAGGAGGCGTTATTTACATACGGGAAGGGAGACGTGGCCAATGACAAAGCGCTATAGGTGCCGTGGCTCCTGACTGGCAAGCGCCAGGGCCAGTAAGGCACGAGAAGGCGGGTTTTTTCGCGAAGGGGACTCGCGGCCAGCGCCGGTAGCTCGTGTCATTCCCGGTTGGGTAAGGCGGCGGCGGCGGCAGCGGCGGCGGAGTCGGAGCGGACGGCGGCAAGGGCAGGTACCCGGCATTGGCTCTCGGGTTGGGGGCGTCTTGGCTTTGTGAAGAGAGAGAGAGAGAAAAAAAGGCGCCCTGCCTGTGTGCCTCGTCTTCTCAGAAAGCGGAGAGGTTTCTTGGCCGGGGAGACTCCAGCCTCACCAGTCGGCGAACGGGGCGCGGAGAGGGCGAGGGGGCTTTGCAGCCACCCTCCCTCCGGCCCCCTATCTTTTCCCCTCAGCCCCACTGGAGAGGCCTCTCTCGTTCTCTTTCCTGCGGGGAAACCTCAGCAGTTCAGGCTCTGGGTCGCTGCTGTGTGGTGGCGACTTGCTCTCTCTCATCCTCGCAACAGTCCGCCACTCGTTCTCTCCCCCCCCCCCAACCCCCTCCGCCCCGCCGCCTCTGCTTTTCCAGGTCCGGTTCCTGGGCCACCGAAGCTTTCTGTCTCTTTGCAAGAAAGATGCTGAACGGAACGGGTCTGGTTTTAAAAAGAACATTTGTGGTGAAACACGAAAAGAAAACGAGAAAATAACACGCCCCTCACCATCACTTTGACATGGAAGCCGGCCTAAGAATGATTGCAAATGCTGCGTCTGGTCTGTAGGACGGGAGTGGAGAGAGAGAGAGAGAGAGATTGAAAGAGAGAGAGAGAGAGAAAGAAAGAAAGAAAGGGAGAAAGGCGCGAAGGAAGAGCCGGTTTGCTCCCAGCACCACCCCGGAGCAATCACGGCTTCTGGAGATGTTGACACACCTTTCCTTTGCAACCTAGATTTCGTGTATGGTCCATTTTATAAACAATACAGTCGTAGCACTAAATGTTACTAGCACACAAGAGGAAGGAAGGGAAGGAAAGGAAAGGAAAGGAAAGGAAAGAAGGAAAGGAAAGGAAAGGAAAGGAAAGGAAAGAAGGAAAGGAAAGGAAAGGAAAGGAAAGGAAGGAAGGAAGTCTTTTTGTTGCCACTCTCCCCTTTCTCTAATTGTGCAAAGATAATTTGGAATTTGGTTAGGGTGTGGAAGAGAGATTTAAATCCTCATCTTGTTTCCTTCAATCACAGCCTTGGGAGATGGCTGGTTTGGAACTAGACTGCCCAACCCAAGTTAAAACATAAAGATTAGAGGAAAGGCTTCATAGAGACAGTGAGTTATTTTTCTTCTGAGCCACTCTCTGCTAAAGAGATGTGTCCCCAAGTTCTCAGAACTTTCACTTTACCAGGCGGACTCTTACCTTTGTACCTTTTGGGGTTGGTTGGTTTGTGTGCTTGCTTTTACAGATTGAGATTGAAATCTGGGCAACAGTTTGGGCAGATTTATCATTTTCATTCTAAAGAGTCAAGCATATAATTATAGTCAGTAAGCCAATGGTATTTAAATGGGCAAGGAGTGTGTTCCTATAAATTTAGGTCTCAATTGACAAAAATCAATGGAAATCTTTGTTATCAGATAGAGAGGAGGGAGAGAAAGAGAGAGTATTGTCCCAAGTTTATATGCTTTCAAAAAAAAAAAAAAGCATTTGTCAGAACCTGCCTACAAATGGCCTCATATGTAAAAGAACAAAATAATGAACCCCATGATCAAAAATTTGTCTATGCAAGATCCATTGAATTTACTAGCAAGAAGAAGCGCTAAAAAATTTGGGTGAAAACACAATTGTCCTTTTAGTAGTTCCTATTTATTTTAAATAGGGCTATGCATGAGAAACTGCTGTCAAATTTATGCCTGAACCATGAAAACAAATTTATACTTGGTTAGTTTGTTTAGATTCATATGACCATCCCTCTCGACACAGTGACTCTGGGCCATGAACAATTATGTTATAACTAATTACACTGGTTAAAAATAACATGTCTGTAATGTTAAGCAACCAGATACTTTTATTTCCCATCCCTCTTATTCATTGGTGAATACACTGTAATAAAATGTTCATTTGTCAAAAAGTAGCATTAAAAGTAGAATTATTTATTAGATTTATATATTGCTCTTATAATCTACAATTCTAGTCAGTGTACATAATGTTCCTTCCCCCACCTATTTTTCCCAACACAACAAACAACCTGTGAGGTGAGTTGGGGTGAGAAAAAAATGACTTATCCAAAGCCGCACAGCCAGTTTTCATGCCTTAGGGAAGACCAGAATCCATAATGTCCCAATTTCCAATGTCTTAATCACTCTACCAATTCTTTGATAAAATATATATTTCAGGTTTATTTAAAATACCAGAACTTTTTCTGCAGCCTTCACAGGGATTATAGTTGCACTTAAAGATCACTTTTGTTTTGCAAAATTAAATGATCATTAGTAGAACCAGCTGAAAGATAGAAATTGGTGATGAGGAATTTTGAGTGAAAAAGCTATTTGGGAGGACTAAGTACAGCTTCCTTATAGTTTTCATGTTGCATAGTAACACTTTTCAAGAATGCCTACATAATAAAGACAGCTGTAAAAACCCAGAGTATGAAGGGATACTTAAGATTGTAAGAATAAATGCTTTCAGTTATCTCCCATTAAACTTTATATTAAACTTCCTCTTTTGAATACTACTGTATTAATAAGGACTGCAGTTTAGAGCAATAGGAATTCCACAGATTAGTCAAAGGATTTAAAATTTGAAAAAGATTTTCTTGTAGTTTATTTCTTGTAGGTTTGTGGACATTTCATTGGGTTTGCTTTCTGCTTAAGGCATATTCTGGAAAAATTGTATAAATTATTTATGTTCATTCTGTTTAGCAAGCTACAGGTGAATTTACTTATTTAAATCATATTTAATGACTGAACCATCAAGATCTTTGTGTAGACATGAGAATTCATAATATTGATTGTACCAAAGAGATTTAAGATTTATGTAAACCTACAAACATCACTCTTGTCTCACTCTGCATGTTATAAAACCCATTATTCTTCTACCTAAGCAATGCAAAAAAAAAAATATTGTGAAGAATCCCATCTATCTTATCAGATGGAATAAAAGAGAAACTGTATAATTTAATGTAGTTCTTCCCATGCAGTAAAAGTTCAGAAATGAATAGCAGAATATAGTTGAAAGTCTAGATAAAAAGGCCATAGCTTTAGATTAATGAATGAATTAATTAATTAATTGTGCCACCCATCTTGTATGAATCTGACATCTAATTGTACTTATTTGTAATTATAGTGCCTTTGATCTCCTCTTTTGTCCTCAGGTTCACATTCACAAGGCACAAGGTGTACTGTATCTGATTTATGGTCTCCTAAATCCTTGTCTAGATAGTTGCTGATAGTTTGGCTGGTGAGACTTAATACTGTGTTTATTTAGGTGCTGTCTCATTACCAAGCTTAACACATCATTTTAAGTGTTCTCTTGAAGTAGCCATACAGCATTTTGTTTCAGTTATGGGCAGCTTCCAGAATCCCTTTCAGTGCCGATTTTCTTTGCTTCTCTCCCCAATTCCTATACATTTAATTATTTGTATTCTGGAATATTTTTCCTTAAAAATATTTCAATTAATATGGGACAAGGAACAATACCTCTTGTATCAGTTGTTTCATCTTGAAGAATAACAGGGACCAAAGTTTGTTTCATGAAATAAAATCTCACGTCATAAGTGCTTTTACTTGAATATATTTGGATTCTTCAAAGTGCCTTTAGATTCCATTGTAAGGAAATAGAAAAGGTATATTATTTTGGATTTGGTGCTTTTAATGTTTTAACAATAGCAACAAAACCACTGAAGCCAAAACATGATTTGGCTCTGTTTTATCTGTATCTACCTGGACTATAATCCTATAGTCCAGGCAGACATTTGCTGTAGTATGAACCGTCCTCTGGCATAAGTGAAGATGAAATTTATTCTTGACTGTTTTATTTCATGGAATCTACAAATTTAACCTTAGTCTGGAATGTTTGTTTGTGAATGAGACATCTAAAAAACTTTCCAATGGTGTTGCACATTGTCATGAATACATGTTCAGTATTAAGTCAAGAATATTTTTTTTATGGAACAGGATTTTCTACAAAAATGAATTTTATAAGTTGTTCCAGAGGTATCTTATTTCCTACAATACAGTATTGCAAATGGAGAGCCTCCTAGATCATATAATGGAACTATATCAGATTCCAGAGCAGAATTTTACCTAGATTAGAATTCTGTTACTACTCATAGATAGTAGTTAAGATGCTTAACTACTTAAGTAGTATCTACTCATTTATACTACTTAAGATGCTTCTTAATTTTGGATATGATGTTTGTTTTATTGTAAGTCCCATGTCTAGTAAGAATTACCTCACTGTCACCTCTAGTTCCATTTATGTACTAACCATAAGACAATTATTGCAGAAGGAGTAAAATGCAATATGGGTATGACTTCTTCACACTTCATACAATAAATATTCCTGATATCGCTGTAGAATTAAATATGAACAATGTAATATATCTCTAAATGTTGTTCTATGCAATATCAAGAGCTGTGGAGTCTTGAATTTACTCAGGTTTATAGTTTCTTTATAACTTCAGACTGACTGCAACTGATACAAATATTTGACCAGTTTCACAAAAGCCTGCATCTGACTTGATAGCTAGTTATGGAGTCTTTTTTAAGGTAATAGCTGTGAAAATTTAGGTATTCTAGTATTGCTTTGAAATAATAATGGTGTTTATAAAATAGAAGTTCTACAATTGGTTTTGATATATAATTACTGAATTATTTAATGTCAAGGGGATTTAACTCCCTGCCTTTTATTTACTAAATAACTTTTAAGTTAATTTTTGGCTGTGTGAAATGTAGAATTTTAGAATTTGCTAATAGCAGGCAAATTGATTTTATAAATGGATGGTTTTCAAAGCCTCTTTGGTTAGTGACATAAAAGAAGTCATATAATCGAGTGCCTAAACAAGAACCTTTTAAGGTTTCGGCTTTGGTGGCTCACTAATAAATCTCTGAAAATGATGTTAATAGGACTGCCATAAATCATACTGCAATGAGTATCAGTATTATGCTGTGTAATAAAATAAAATGCCACATGAGTTAATCAGCAGCAAATGTTTAAAGGC